GCAGATGCTGAACTGAGCAGCCAATCACAGGTGAGCCGGGAAAACATGACATCACAGTCCAGCCGGTCCAAAAAAAAAAAAAAGATAAAATTTGGTTTTTTATTTGCCTCCTTGTTGCTTCGGTCTCTCTGTCTCCCTCTCTGTCTTTCCCTTTCCCTCTCCCCCTCCCTCTCTCCTAGTTAAATGAGGAGGGCAACAGAACCAACTTTCCAAATTCAATTCACTCTGCATTTGACTTAGGTTTTGGCAGTGCAGTGATCAAGAGTGTGTAGCAAAGGAATATATAATATGATCCTCTTGGGAGAAAAGTAAAAAAGAGCATCAGTTCAATTAAATAATGTGGTTTAATATGTAAGACTATGGTAGAAGCAAGGCTACTTAAAACTAAGTCAGAGGACAGGAACTTCTTAATTCTCATTAATTCACCCAGAGCCACCTGGATTTAATTGTCTTCTGCTTTTCCTCTGCTAACTCTCTCATGGAAAGGAGAAGTGCAGAGGCAAAGGGCTTCAGAAAACTCACGGGTTCTGTAGGACAGGTCTCTAACAGGGGCTAATTATAGTGAGGAAAGGTTAAGACAGACCCTCCGTTCCCAGGTGGCCAACACTTTGGGAGCTGGGAGCATATGTAAATGGAGATTCCTCAATTTTATTAAGGAGGTGTACAGCTCTGAAAAACAATTAAGTCCACTTTCCTTCCATTAGCTATTTGCATGCCTACAACAGTTCAGAGAGACAGGCAAGTTTGACAGAAGAGAAAAATAATGCCCAGGGAAATCTGAGCCTTGCTCAAGGCTTCCTCTCCACAGAGTGAACTAGAATCAGGATCTCCTCATTTTCCACAAGAGCTCTATGGATCCAACAGGATGGTGATTTCCTTCTAGATATGAGCTTCTCTCTTGCCTCAGCCTCTGGGATTTCAGGTGCCTAGGATGATACCTTTTGGCATCCCTGAGGGTCCTTGCTCTTTGCCCAGCAGGCAACTCCCAATGCTACCTGCTCCAGAAGAACCGGAGCCCCTAATAATGTCAATGAGGAGACAGGAAGGAAGGAACTCAGGAGAGCCAGACTACAGTGATGGCAACAGGTTGTCGTGATCAGCCCACAAGTGACAGAGTAGTAGATATTGTGCTCCTAGCTAGTGTCTGTACACCAACTGTAGAGCCAGGTTCCTTTCTATTCAGAGCAAATGGGTGGGGAGGGGCACTTTTAAAAAAATTCATCTGCCATAGCAAAAGTTGTACAGACTGAGAGCTGCACAAACTACAAGTCTGCTACCAGGAACAATTTCTGGCTGTGAAAATTAAGGTGGGGTGTGAAGGAATGCAAGAATTTCTGGTTGCTGCTGGTCATTGGGCTGAACATTATTGCCTTGCATACACTGTCTACCCACATCTGGCTCACCTCAATGTGTCACACTGTACCCTTGATTCCTCATTCGGAACTATTAGCGTGGCACTAAGATTTCTTTCAGGATAGCCAGAGTGCTTTGCTTATCTGGTTGTTTTTATTCTAATCCAAAGAAAGCTATATTTTCCCTTTTCAATGCTGTCTTTACAAGCACAATATAGTACATGCTCATTGTAAAAAAAAATACAAACAATAAGTACAAACACTCTTCCACTTTCAGTGAGATTATATCCCAATAAACCCAACATAAGTTGAAAAGATCCTAAATTGAAAATGCATTGAATACACTTAACTTACTCAATATCCTAGTTTAAGAACACAGTAGGGTTGAAAATGCATCGAATACACTTAACTTACTCAACTGAGTGAAAAAAATTACACAGATGAAGTCTTTAAGATATTTGAGCTTTAAATCCCTTCCCTGAAAGTTCCCAATTGCCCTATATTCTTGGAGGCCAAGTCACATTGGCAATAAAGACTACTTTCTGATATCAAGAATAATGTAGATTGTCACCTTTTTATAGGAAAACGCAAGTCATTTGTGTTGTTTGGGTCCTAAATTCAGTCCTTTTTGGATGACATTACTATGCTTCAATTTGTGAAGCACTTTATAGGATTTTGTTCCCATGCTAGTTTCTATAATCACCAGGGAGAGAAGAAATATACACACGACAAAAGTAAATAACCATGTGCAGTGACTCTGTTATAGCTGAGGTATATGGGAAGATTAGAGTGAAATAAAATACTTTTTAATTATAATTTAAATCAGTAGCTTGAAAGACCCAATTTAAATCATTATCCGGGAAAATCTGTTTATATCTTCCTTTTTATTTAAAAAGTTCTTGTTTAAAATAACTCAAATAAATATTACAAATCAGAGATGTTAACATTAAGTGAATAACATCCAGTTAGATGAGTAATATTCTTTTTTTTTTTTTTTTGGTACTGGGGATCGAACTCAGGTCCTTAGCTTGCGAGGCAGGCGGTGGTACCACTGAGCTAAATCCCCGGCCCGAGCAATATTCTTTAGGTTACTTTTACAATGTAAAAAAATCAATGTGATGTGGTTACCTTTTTTTAATCCATAGTTAATTAAAAGGATATCTGTAAAGTCATTTGAAGCAGAACCATCCTAAATTCAACCTATTAATCAAGGGTATGAGAGGGAGAATATTGGGAATTTTTGCACAAGAAGACAACTACCACCAACAAAAACCTACTTTTAAATCCCTGAATTTTAAAAACCCTCAATTTTGTATATTCTGTTTATTAAAATCAGGTATGCATTTAATAGTCCATAATATCATGTTTAATTTTTTGTAGGAATACACTGAACCTTTTGGAAAAAGCATAGACTTTGGGCTCAGATTTAGAAACAAGTCCCAGCTCTAACCACTTTCTACAGTGTTCATGTAATGCATGTTTGCATAAATACAGATTTTTAATTAAGGAAAATATAACTCACATTGATCATTAAAACTTGTCTGGATTATGTAATTGCCTCCCTCTTTCCTGTTTTTTCATAGTTTTGGTCATTGTTCTTTCTCAATTCCCTGTCTTATCACAATTGAAAATGAATTACTCAAAAAGAGATATCCCTTTCTTCTAAAAGTTATCACTTTATCTTCTTTACTTGGCCACATCAGAAGAATGCGCACATACACTCAACTTAAAGTAGAAGAATTATTCTTTTTTGTATAATGCTGTGTTTTGAGGTTTGTTTCATGTGTAGAAAAGGAGTGTCCCTGCCTAGATTGCTAGCTCTTTGAGTCTAACTGCCACATGTGCCTCTGAGTTTTCCGTGTAACCTGCTTGCATGACAGGTGGTGTCCCAAATTCAAATAATTTTCCCCAATCAAGTATGCCCCTGTAGATGGTTAGATTCCCTCTCTTGAAAAGTCATCTGAAAGCCCATTCTTCTGATGTGGCCAAGTAAAGAAGATACATGAATTGTCCCCTCCCCTCCTCCTGTCAGGTGCCTCTTTATTGGTGGCCCCACCTCCCTCTACATAACCCTGACTGTAGAAGTTTCCCATCTCCTTTTCCTTTCCCTCTCCTCTTTCCCTCCTCTTTAGCCCCCCCCCCACCTTTTCCCGGGCGCTTCCTGCCTGGAAACAAAAGATTGGTCCCCAGTAGCCCACTCAGGGCGATTTTAGTTTTATGCTCACCATCTGATTGGCCTAGGTACGGTGCAGAGCCCGGGTGACGTCATAGGAGAGAAGGGCTAGGGAGCGGTTGCTGAGCAGGGGCTCTATCGCAGACGGGCAGCTGTGGCGGTGAACCAGCTGGGCTCTTGCACTGGGGGCTGCAGCTTTTCCCCTCCGGGAGCCTGTGCGCTGAGGCGAGAGAAGAGCCAGGGGAAGCAGGCTGGGCCCGGGTTTGCAGCTGCGGCCGCGGGGCTGCGGCTCCCCAGCCCCGCCAGCCGGAGCGATTGGAAGTAGAGGAAAGGTCTTGACGGGGTGGCTGAACCCCAGGCAGGTAAATCCCCCGACTTATGGAACCAGGGTTAGCTCAGGGGAGAGGGTGGCGGCCGGGTGCTGCTTTGAGGCAGCTGGGCAGATGTTGTCTTTCTGGGCCCCCCTCCCATTCCTGAGACGCCCCAGCTTCGAGTCTTCTACTTAGCTCTCCCAGACCCCTGAGACCCAGAGCTCAGTTAGCTGGATCCCGGTTCTCAACCGTGGACAAGTGGGTGTGTCCTGGCCATCCCTGGAGGGCTTGGACTCCTTCGCTTGGCCAAGCCCGGTACTTGCATACTGGGGCCTGGGCCGCTTGAGACAAAATCCACCCTGAAAGCTACGCCAGCCTGTAAATCTTATACTACCTTCCTGCACCCCCTCCCCTCCAACCACAGTACAGGTGACAGCAGCCCCTCAGAGAAAGGGAGGGGGTGTGGCCGCGATTTGGCCAAGTCCAGGGCAGAAGAACCCAGAGCAAATAGAAAAAGTGACGATTTTGTTAAACCAGCGCCCCCCCTTAAAATTTCTTTTCATTATCCCCCTCCCCTATTTCAGTAGGGGATGGTAATCACAGCAGGACTCTTTTCTTCTCCTGTGGGGATTGGAATGATGCAATAAGGTCACTAGAAAGCCCAGAGTCTCTATTGGCACTGTCTTTGTCTGGGGAGTGGGGTCATTGGGTCTACTGTCTCCCTCCTTCTCTGTGCCCCTCAGCTGGCAGGAGGCATTGCCTTCAGTTTCTTAACTGGCACTGGCAAGATTACTGCTGCACTTCTGGGCTAACTGAACACTTTAGATTCTGTCTGTTGCAGGTTTTCTTTCCTTAGGTGGTGACTGAGGGCTGGGGTGAAGATTGGCGGAGTGGCTACTCCAGCAAGGAGAGAGCCAGGTCCCATTTGTTATTTCCTTTTTTTGTTGTTTTTATTTGTTTGTTTTGGTCCCACTTTCAAGAATCCAATTCCATATTCTGGGTTTGAGGGTTCTGGGCTGTGGTCTTAGAAGCAGAAGAGAGAAGGGTGAGTGGCTTGGCTTTGGGAAGCATGACAGGGGTGGTTGCATTGCTATTTTTTTTAAAATGGCTTTCAGCAAGGAAGCCTTTAGCCATGTTAGTCTTGCTCCCTCCATGGTTTTTCAGACTCAAATCCAGGCCAACTGTGTGGCTGCCTGAGATGTTGGAACAGAAGGAGGTCCATTCCTGTTGGGGACAACACTGTGGCCCTGTTCTGGGATGAGCAAGGTATAAAGGTCAGTGCGGTTTTCACAGGGCCATTTGCAAAATTAGAATTGGGCAGAACCTGTGATTTGGCACTTGAGGCTCCCAGTCAGAGGCACCTTTGGGCAAAGGGACTTGAGTGTAATGAATGATTAACAGGCCTGGGTTTGGGGTAAGTAGGCCTGTGTTTCTGGAGCCAAATGTTTCTAGATACCCCTCCATCCTCATACAAGAGACAAAATGGGAAGATACTGGGTGGGATGCTGGGTTAAAGCTGACAGCAGAGAACCCCTAGTCCAGAGAGACCTTGTGATATCAAGGAGTCAAACTTTCAGATCTCTAGACAGACAAGTGGGCCTTGTAGGAGAAACCTAACAAAAAAAGGAGGTTCACATGTAATGTACAAGTGGTACAGGCAAAGGCCAAAATACCCTATGGACATTCTGACGAGCTGACTAGCTGTAATCCACAGGTTACAGGTTGTTCTGGTCAGATGTGAAAATACTGTACAGAACCAACAAGTCTGCTGAAGTCTTGGGGAAGAGTAGATAGTGGATGTGACAGGTGAGGGAAATGAGGAATAACTGCAGGGATGGAGAGGTGCTGCCATCAGAGTCTTTGCTACTATGATATGAGGTTGAAGGTGATAATGGCAAAAAAAGATCAGCTCTAGATTAGATGGAGTAGGCAAGGGTCAGATGGAGAAGATGGGATCAAATGGGGAAGCTAGCAGCAAAGCCATAGAGACATACAAGAAGAAAAGTCATTGTCATACCAGAAACCCAAAGCTCTGATTTCCCTAGTGAGATGGGAAAGTTTTTCATTATGGGAATGCAGTTGAGGCAGCTATGGCTCAGCCAAGTGCTAGGGAAATTTAGGAGCTCAATTACTTTTCCACCTACATAACTCACCTTCAAGAGCCAGTAGCTTTGGCCAAGGAAACCAGGAGAAACTTGATGAGCAGCTAGCTCTTTCCTCCCGGGTAAGGATAGTGGGCAGGAACCAGGGCCCCAAAGGGAAGTCGGGGTGGTATGAATCTACCCCAGACAAGAGGTTGACTGTTTTTACATGGATGATTTAGGGCCAGATCTGAGGCCCCTGTTTAAAACAAAAACAAAAACAAAAACTTCCTGGGGCCCCATGGGACCCTGTGTACACAGGGAACTGAGGAAAATCTCTATCCTGGAAGGTAAGTGCAGCTGTCTGGGCATCTGGAGCACATCTTCAGCTTCAGCTGCAACACACCCCCCCCCCCCCCCCGCACATACACACCTGCCAGGGCTAGGTGGTTCCCTCTACTGGCCAGAATGGACTCACTGGCCGACTCCACACTACAGAGCTTCTCCAGCAGGGGGTGAGAAAGGGCGTCCACCGAGGCACAGGACCTAAGTCCTCCATTTCAAGTGTGAAGCCTGAGCCTTGGATTAACAGCCTTGCATTTAAAATCTAGTTTAGGGGAACTGGAGAATCAAATGAGCCTCTAGGTCAGGAGTCTGTTTCCATTTCCTTCCAGAAATGCGCCTCTTCCTACTGCGCTCAGGAGAAGGAAGGCATTTGCATTTACATACTCAGTGATTACTTGAGTCACTAATACCCACAGCCTAACTGGGAGTTGAATTGGAAATGTTAATCAATGCAATAGATCCGTGTCTAATTTGCACCTTCAGTTATTTATCTGTAAGTCAGGGCAATGAGTGCTGTACCCAAGGGATGCAGTGAGAGGGTAAAACTGCATCCACAGCTGGGTCTGGGGATGGGAAGCAAAATGGGGGAAAGTGGACTTTGAAGGTTGAAAAGAAATTAACAATTGACTGGTGGGGAGAGGAAATTTCCAAAGGTGTGGAAATAGAGAAGCCTGATCCCTAGATGCTAAATGGAGTGGAACAGTCCTAGAGGCCATATAGTGTGTATCTGTGTGTGGGGGCTGGAATTTTTTTTTTATGAGAGAGAGAGGAAGTGGGTGGATTTTAAGAAAGAAGGTTTTTTAAGGGCTGGAGGACCAGATGCTGAGGAGGAATGAACCTTGGGAATCAGAAAGCAGGCCTTCTGGTCTGAATGTGTCTACTCTTCTCTGGACCTCAGTTTTCTTGTTTTTTCAACTGATAGAGTTGGACTAGGTGTTCTCTAAGATGGTGGTGACATTTCAGGAAATGAGTTCATTTATTCTTTTTTTTTTGGTACCGGGGATCGAACTCGGGTCCTTGCGCTTGCGCAGCAGGCGACAAAAACCACTGAGCTAAATCCCTGGCCCCATTTATTCTTGATAGTGAAGACAGATACACTAAAGTACAGCCCTTCCCTAGGAAGAAAAGGTACCCTTTCTATATCACACTCCCTTTTGTATGCCCTCCAGTCTGGGGAAAAACAATACAAAATAACCACACAGTCTCTACACATATTTTATCTCTTTCGGAGGTACGACTTTACTTTTATTTCATGTGAATGGGGAGCAGGAAGGAAAAGAGAAGTCCAAATTGAGAATCTACTAGGGGCTGTATAACCAAAACTCTGAAAAGATTTGTAATGGTGGCCTTACAGACTGACCCTGGGAGGCTAATAGGCAGCAGACATTCACAAGTGGTCCTTACCTCCCTAACTCAGCCTCAAAACAGGAAGGCCTTGAAATGAAGAATTATATTCTTTTCCTTGGTGTTTTTCTCCCCCAACTTCTGAGCCCTGTGGAATTTTTGTGATTTGGAATCCTAAACTCATCCTGACAACATAATAGCGCCCTCTAGTGACTTTAATGGGGACATGCTGGTAGAGGTCCCCGTTGCCGTCCCTTGACCCAGCCAGTACACCTGTGCAGCAGTTACTCCCTACAAAGAAGGGCTTCTATCCAGTGTAGAGAGAAACTCAAGCAGTTGCCACTTCCTGTAAGTCTTTTTTCTTGTACGTAGATAGGTTTAGAGAGGGAGCCATCACTCCCTTCCCCCACCCCAGTGCCCTTTCCTTCTTTGAGTCTGATAAAGGGTCCAAAAATGCCTTTCCCAGAAATCTTAGTGCTGAGCAAGGCATTTGCCATGGGAGGACTATGGGATACAGTAGTTGTCCACAGATCACCCCACACACACTTCCATGGCGGCAACTCTAGTCCCCAGACAGGGATTCTGGCAAGAAGCCAAATGTAGTTAACTGTAATGAAAGAGCCTGGGAAGGGAGGTGGGGAGAGTAAGGCATATACAAGGTGTATGCACTAATCTGTACCCAGATCTCCAAAAAGAGGCTGATCTGAAGGTATGCAGCTAAGCACTGTAGATTCCAAACATGCTACAGGCACACAACATTGACAAACCAGTACAGATACACAGCATGGCATAGATGTATGACACAATATGAACTAGAGACTTGACACATACACACAGCACAGAGATGCAGTACACATGCAACAATACAGACACATAGTACATATACAAGAGCATACTGACTTGGTACATATACACAACATAATATAAGCACAATACTGCCCACATCCAACATGATACAGACTCACTATACATAGAACATGGTATAGATATGACGCAGCACATACACATGCACAAGTACATTATGGTGCAGGAAACAGAACAGATACACATGACTCACAGTGTGCATGTGCTCACACACAGCATACCAACCCACACACATGCTCAGCAAAATACAAGCAGGCGAGAGGAGTATGACTGTCTGATGGAGGGCTAGTTCCGGCCAGTTGGTTCTGCACGGCTCAGGTTGTACAACTGGTGAATTCATGGCCAGCTTTGTGGAATTACTAAACGGTGTTCCAAATGGGGCAACTGGGATGAAGTGAAGCTAGGCTCAAGGAAAACTTTTGATTTGTCTTTAAAACATGGAGGTTCTTGGTTAGTACAGGCTGGTGTGCCTGCCCGCCCCCCACACACACACACACTGATCCCCACTGTGAGTGGATGTTGCCTCCCCAGCCAGCCCTCAGCCTCAGGAATGGACAGAGGCTTCTTGAGATTGTTCCTGTACCCTCTGAAGCCCTGCCCCTCTTTGGAGCTTTGCAGTCCTTACTACTCTCCACCTCACCCTCCTGCAAGATGAGCTCATGCAGCAAGGGAGGGGTTGGTACATCACTCACTGGTGCAGTGGGTAGGATTTGGAAAGCCTGCTTAGAGTGTAAGTGTGGGAAGCACACAGGGAATGCCAGGGATGCTGGGGGACAGACGTGCTCTGGAGTCTCGCTCAGAGCAATAGGCAAGCCAAGGGTATGGTTTAGTCTTTTTATTTGTGAAGGGGAATTGGAGATCATGGAGCTTTTCTTGGCTTCCTAAGGCTTCAGTTTTATTGTTTCCATTTTGAGATATCCATCTATCCATCTTTTTGGATTAGGACTGTGTGCATTTCGGTGTCTTTTAATAAAATGTGTGTTAGCCTGGGTCATGCTCTATTGGAAATAAACTTATAGTTGCAGCTTCTCTCTGAGGATAAATAGCATTGAGAGGGATGGAGGGGGAAGCAGAATGGGGTTGCAGAACTTGGGATACTCTAAAAGGAAAACTACCCTCTCCCTGAGAGACACAGGTGATTGTGGGAAGAGAACCAAAAATGGAGGGGTTAAAGAGACCTTATTCCCAGCTGGAAATGTGACTCAGTGGCAGAGCACTTGACTAGTATGCACAAGGTCATGGTTTCTAATTCTATCCCAGCACACATGCACATACACATACATGCACACAAACACACATGTGCGCATGCACACACACAGGAGGAGAGAGACAGACAGACAGAGACCCTTTCTCCTGCATGGTTAGATGTGGAAACCTCTCTGGGGAGATTAGCGTAAATTATCACCAAAGCAACAACAACCAACAGTATTTACTGACTCTAAGAAATCTGGGGAAGGCTATGGAAGGTATCTTAGTGATGGAGAATGGAGGTAGAAGGGAAGGAAAAGGAAGTTTCAAATAGGATTAGAGGTTGAGGCCTTCGGCAGCTATGAGAAGATCAGGGACCTCAGAGTGCTATTGCCTAGGAAACAGACTTTCTCCCAGGCAAGTGAAAGAAGTTGATGGGAAGGGGAATGCAA